CCTTCCAAGGAGTGGCTGGTGGGTTTGAACGTCCAGCCTTCTGGTTAGCAGTCAAATGCCTTAGGCACTATGCTACCAGAGCTCCTTAGTTTTGTGTATTTCACTGTACATAAATTATAGTTCAATAAAATGCATTAAAAAAAAGAAGGTAGAAGAGGGGAGAGCTTAAGAAAGGGATGGTGGTCAAGCAAGGCCAGGACTAGAAGTTTAAAGGGGTGCCAAAAAATTCAGCAATCAAGATAAATATTATTTCAATGTAACATTTAAGAAAATAAAAATTAATACAAAAACATCCATGAAGAACAAAATATTGAACTTTCAGAATGAAGATAGGATCTGATCCTGTACCTATAGTTAGACCCTGTCTTACTCATCTCACCCTGTGGTCAAAGGGAGATTACTATCAAGTAAGTTAAGGAATGAAGAAGGTGCCCTACATTTGGCCAACAAAGATGTTAGTGTAAACCTTGGTAAGATTAGTGCCATGAGTGTGGGAAGAGAAGCCAGACTATAGGTATTGGTATTACTCAAAGCATGATCTGTGGACCACTGGCATCAGAGTTACCCAGGATGCTTGTTAAAAATGAAAAGTCTAGGGCCTGACTCTCAATCCACTAAATCAAAACTTTGAGGTTTGTGAGGAGGTAGGCTGGTAATCTACTATTTAAATTATGTACACAAATGTCTGAGAACATTAGAGTCAACCTATTGGTATATTCAATTGTTTTATGTCTCTGTCTAATTAATAATTTTATCAATGAGTTAAATGTAAGAAAAAGAAAGCTATTTTTACTTAAATCTTCAGTTCTGTCTAGCTGTAGACTCATTGGTTCATTCATTCCTTTATCCAGCAAACATATATTAAGTACCTACTATGTGCCAAGTGGGAGCTCTGGTAGCATAGTGCCTAAGGCACTTGACTGCTAACCAGAAGGCTGGTGGTTCAAACCCACCAGCCACTCCTCAGAAGGAAGATGGGCCAATCTACTTCCATAGTGATACTGCCTCAGAAACCCAAGGAGGGGTCGCTATGAGTCGGGTCCAACTCGAGGGCACATAACAACAACAACATGTGCCAAGTATTGTGCTAGGTGTTAGAAATGCAGAAATGAGTGGAACAGATGCAATACCTGCCCTCACGGAGCTTACAATACAGTGAGGGAGATATTAGGCAGGTAATAACAAACGTTATGTTTATTATGGTAGTGGAAGTGCTATAAGTATACGTAATAGAGGGCCTAAGCCTGTCTAAAAATCAAACCAAACTCACTGTTATCAAGTTGATTCCAACTCAGCAATCCCCATTAGGTTTCCAAGGCTGTAAATCTTTGCAGAAGAAAATTGCCTTGTCTTTCTTCCATGAAGTGGTTGGTGGGGTCAAACCACCAACCTTTTGGTTAGGAGACAAATGCCTTAACCATTATACCACCTGAGCTCCTTTAAGCTACTTTAGTTCCCTTGAAAAAAAGACTTCCTGAGAAAATACTTACATTGAGGCCTGAATAATGGAGAGAAAAGGAGTTAATTAAATAAGAAGGGGGTTTATAAAAGGGGAAGAGGTCCAGAACCACCCATTACCATCGGGTCAATTCTGACTCACAGTGACCCTGTAGGACAAAGTAGAACTGTCCCATAGGGTTTCCAAGGCTGTGAATCTTCATGGAAGCAGACTGCCTCATCTCTCTCTTGCAGAGTGGCTGGTGGATTGGAACCACCAAGCTTTTGGTTAGCAGCTAACTGCTTTAACCACTGTGCCACCACAGCTTCTTTGAAGGGACCCAGGCAAGGAGAAAAACATATGATGAAAGGGTCTGAGATGAATCCATAGGGTGCTGTGGCCCACAAAACAGGAGTATTCTCAAATCTACTTATAACTTGAACTATCACTTTGATAAGGAGCTGTTGTGGCACAGTACCTAAGGCATGTGACTGCTAACCAGAAGGTTGGTGGTTCAAACCCACCAGCCACTCCAAGGAAGGAAGATTGGGTAATCTACTTCTGTGAAGATTTACTGCCATGGAAACCCAATAGGGGTGGCTATGAGTTGGACTCTACTCGATGGCTGTGGGTATCACCTTGATGGTTACCAAATCTGTCTTCAGCCCAGATCTGCTTCTGGGGCTCCTGAACTCAGGTGCCTCAAAACCTAACATGTCCCAAACCAAACTAATCTACCCCACACTTACTCCTGTTATAATATCTTCCTCTTTAATAGCACTCTGTTCATCTATTTTATTAAGCCAGAGATGTGAGCATCATGCTGTAGAATATAAATGTAGGAGGTAGTTGGATGTACAGATGTAAAGCTCATATTCCAGAGAGAAATTTGGGTGAGGGTCTAAATTTGAGAGTCCTCAACCTGAGTGGTGTTGACATCTTGGCAATGGACTAGATCAAGCAGGGAGAATCCGAGAGTGAGCAGAGAAGGTTGTAGATGGAGCCTCATGCAATAAATTAAGGGATGGCTGAAGAAGAAATGGAAAGGACAGAAAGATAGGAGAAAACCAGGAGAGATGCTATCGCAGAAACCAAGGCAGGGGGCTTGTTCTGAGAAGTAGGAAAGGTTGATTGACAAAAGCCACATGTAAGAGAGGTCAGATATAAGGAGTAAGGAGTGGTTTTGCCATTAGATTGGTAACCTTGACAAGACCTGTGTCAGTGGAGTGGTGAGGAAAGAAGTCAGACTGCAGTGGGTCAAGGAGAAAAGGGACATATGTAGAGAAAGAGAAGACCAATTTTTTCAAGATGCTTCACGGGTAGGAGCTGGGTGGGGATATGATACAGGTTTCCTTTCATTTTTTAAAGTAGAAGAGATTTGAGCATCAGATAGATGCTGATGAAAAAGAGCTGGTATTCAGGTAGAAGACAAAGGAGACAAAGAATGAAATCCCTAAGGAGATGGGAGGAGATTCAAGTACAAAACTTAAAAAAGATTAGCCCTAGACAGAGTACTTACTTCTTTAACCCTGTTGTTGTTGTTATGTGCCTTCTGAGTCAGACCTGACTCATAGGGACCCCTCCTTGGGTTTCCAAGGTAGTATCACTATGGATAGTAGATTGCATTGCCCAACCTTCCTTCAGAGGAGTGGCTGGAACCGCCAGCCTTTTGGTTAGCAGTCAAGTGCCTTAGGCACTATGCTACCAGAGCTCCTTCTTTCACCCTGATGGGAGCAAAAGAGGTAAAGAACAAGAAAGAAGACACATTTATAGGTGGGGAAGACAGGAAGCTGAGGGAGTTCTTGACTTTTGGGATGATTTTTTTTTTTTTTAATTGTGATTTGGGTGAAGGTTTACAGAGCAAATTCACTTTCCATACAGCAATTCACATATATTTTGTCTCATGACATTGACCAAAATTTACCACAATGCAACAGCTCCCCTTCCACTTCCTCCCCATAGTTACCTCTTCCCAGTGTCCATCTCTCCATGCACTCCTGCCCCCTGAGCTGTCTCCCTGTACATAAGCAGCCTTTCTTTCTCCCATGACTGTTCTCTCCAAGGAGTGTATCTACTTGAGGTAAATGTTCAACTCATATGCCTGTCTTTTGTTTGGCTGGAAACCACAGGTGTGGGTTCAATTCCAGACCTGAAGGGCAGCTAGGGGCCATAGTCTCAGTGGTTCCACCAGGCTCTATCAGACCAGCAAACCTGGTCCCCCCCCCCTTTTTTTTTTCTCCAAATGATTTTGAGTTTTCTTCCACATTGTTCTCCCTCTCTATCAAGGATCTCCTACATAGATGGGATAATATTTTTATCACCAGATGTTCTGTTCTAAAATACTAGAGAGAATCAAAAGAAAAACTCTCTTAACAATCCTCTTTTTCACTTTTGAATTTTTTTCCCCTTCAGCGAAGGATACGTGAGTCTAAGCCAGGTAGTCAGCCGTACCAGGAACAAGCTGGCTCCCTGGGAAAACTCCTGCTCCAATTCGGGGGCAGTCTTGCCTTGGTTGGTTTCAATGAAGCTGGTGAGGATGTGACTCCTTGCAACTTTGCCAGCATTGTCCCAATCCTGTAAAAAGCTTAACAGCCTGCTAATTGCTGCCTGCTCTTTTATAGAAGTCATGATCAATCAGTTCTGAAGTTGGCTACAGAGGGAGAAAGAACAGACAGGTTAGCATCATAATGCTTAGACCATGCAAGTCCTATATGTGACTCTGTGGGTTTTGTTTTCCCAGAAATTAACTGGAGGCAGGGTGAGCCACTGTAACGCACATGGGTATAGTGACATTCAGAATATATCTCTGTTGTTGTTATGTGCCGTGGAGTCAGATCCAACTCATAGTGAGCCCTCCTTGGGTTTCCGAGGCGATATCACTACAGAAGTAGATTGATTGTCCAACCTTCCTTCCGAGGAGTGGCTGGTGGCTTTGAACCACCAGCTTCTGGTTAGCAGTCAAATGTCTTAGGCACTATACCAGAGCATCTCTAGGACTAGTCATCTGACACTTGAATAGGGATGCTCTGGCTATTTTGTAATGCAATTATGAACCAAGGTGGTAAACGTCTGTTCCTTAAGAGTTAAAGTTTTTAGCTCTTTGGCATCTCTGCTGATGCCAGCAGATGAAAGGACCACAGCTCCAACTGAGATGAAGGTGCTTGCTAAAAACTGTGTAACACCTTGCTTCATACAGGATCACTTCAGAGATGTGGGGTCTTTAGAGACCTGGACCACTCTTAGCCCCTCAGCTAAGGTAAAATGCTCCTTCACATTGTACCTTGGGCTTTTATACTAACTCTCTTAAAAAGAACTTTTTTTAAAAAAGTTAGAAGGAAAAGTTCCTGTTTTCTAGTTGGATTAATGGGCTGTGGTTTGTAGGAGTCTGTGTCCTTGGGAGAGTGTTTTCAGTGGGGGAGGGAAGATTTAAAATAAACCCGTTTTCCAAAAATAGTTGTGATTGAAAGTGTTATTATCCATAACAAATGTTAGTGCTGATGGGAGAAAGGCATGTGCGATTCTTTTGTCTAACAGACAAGTGAAAGTCATATTTCACATTATCATGGGGTTTTCTGTGATTTACAGAATATTTGTGAAACATTACTTGCAGGGGCCATGATTGATATGGAGAGAACAGCTTGTGTGTAGGGGAGATGTGTATTTCACGAAGCCTGTTCAACATGAAATTTACAGTCCCATAAAGTGCTTCTACATCTTTGCCAGAGATCTAGTTAAAAGGACTTTACAGTCTGAAACATCCTAAAATTGATTCTAAATTAACGTTTCCTCACATGTATTTGAGATATTGATGGGGCCCAGCTATCAGAATTTTATTAGGAAGCAATAATCTGAGGCATGGCGAGACAGACATACATACACACCAACCTCCAGTACTCCCCAGAGGACACTGGATATGTGTTCCTAGGAAGGGCGTCCACGTAGCCTCACTGATGGAGACAAACATGAAATCCTGCCAGCCTTAAGAACCAGGTGAATTACCGTGGGTCAACCTAAACACGGAAATTACCAAAATCCCTCCTGGGATTGTACATCAATCACTGTGAAGTATAGCCATAAGTCTGAGAATAACTTTCAAAGGTCATGGCCACCTTCAATAGCCAAAGTAACCTCAAGAAAATGGGGATGAAGTGGCTGTTCTAGACCCCAAGAAGGAGAGGTTGAAATACCACCATTAGTTCTACAAGCCAGGGAAACAACCTGTGTCTCTCCCTTGCCTTGGATGGGCCCTTTCATAGGCTCAAAACTCAAAGTGCTATCAGAGATGCACCCAGCAACCCCAGGACACCAAGGAAACTTGCAGCTGGACTCTCCACATGATGGGACCTCAGGGTTTCTTAGATCTCAGCCTTCTCCTGTCTTCTTTTGAAACAGGAAAAGAAAACCAATAAAACCCACCACTGCCGTCAAGTCGGACCTGACTCATAGCGACCCCTCCTTGGGTTTCCAAAGCAGTGTCACTATGGAAGTAGATTGCTCAATCTTCCTTCTGAGGAGTGGCTGGTGGGTTTGAACTGCTAGCCTTCTGGTTAGCAGTCAAGTGCCTTATGCACTATGCCACCAGAGCTCCTAGAAAACCAATAAATGCAGCCTTAAAGGC